GATCAGCCCTTATTTGTGCTCTTTGAGATCTCTTTTGAATTCTTGGAGCCAAGAATTCATTAGCTTGTTCCTAATGTTAAAGCAACTTCAGAAATCACAAAGCACTTTTTATCAAGGGATAGGACAATAGTCCTCTTTTCCTTTTGAGAATAAAATATGCCAACTAAGTTAGAGCTAAAGACTAAAAAGTTGGGGCTTTTTTAACCAAGTGAAAACTTTTTTTAAACTAGTTATTGTTTTGGGTTTTTTTAATTAGCAGGACTTTTGTTGATTTATTTTGTGGTGCTGGGGATTGAATCCTAGGCTCTGTGCCTGCTAGGCAAGCATTCTGCCACTGAGCCACATCCCTAGCCCTTAAATCTAGTTTTGTTTTGTTTATGATACCAGGGATTGAACTCAGGGGCACTTAACCTCTGAGCCACATCCCCAGCCCTTTTGTATTTTATCTAGAGACAGGGTCTTGCTAACTTGCTCAGGGCCTCACTAAATTGCTGAGGCTGACTTTGAGTTTGCAATTCTCCTGCCTCAGCTTCCCAAGCCACTGGGATTACAGGCGTGTACCACCACACCTAGCTAAACCTAGTTTTAAGAGGCAATTCAACCTGATGGTTTGGACAAAGAGTAGGAAGTAAAGATTCTAATCCCCACAGTAGAATGTTGAGAAAATCATTCATTCCAACTAGTCTTCACTTTGTTCACCTTTAAGGTAGGAGCATCCCTTCACATAATTTTTTGAGAAATACAAAACTTAAAATAGGGCTAGGTAAACCACTTGCTTAGCATTGTGTGAGTACCTGAGCTCAATCAACTGCACCACATTTTTTTTTTAAGTTAAACTGGTGTATGCAAAACTTAGCTCTGTTTGTTCAAAGGAGTCCTTTAAGATTAAAACATCTGAATTTAGAGTCGGCACAACTAGATTTAAACATTTCTCCCATTGCTACCAAAACAGAAAAAGAAGCAGAAAGACACAGAACCTACTGGACAGATTTCTGCCCCCAGAGCCAGAAAGCAGAGAATTTCAGCAATGCAATGTGAAGACACATATTTGTAAAATTGCCTCTCTAGTTTCCTTCTCCTCTTTGGTAAGGGATCAGACAGAGGGGTGTGTCCCCCTCCAGGAGCTACCCTTCCTGACAAACTGGTCTCCAATAATACCTTTCAGAATCTTACAAAACTCCCAGAACGAAAAGAAAAGAGCACGAATTTGGTGGCATTCAACTTAAATGCTTTTATTGACAATGTCTTGGAACAATAAGCAAACAATGCTTAAATTTTTCATTCAAATTCACTTTCCACATGTTGAAAGACCTCAAGGTAGAAAAAAATAAAATAAAAATATAAATATCTGAGAATCCATCTTAATAAATAAATTAAAAACACAATAAAACGTTTTCATGGAAAACTGTTAATGTCAGAACATTCAGACCACCTCAACAATGCATGATCAGTAACATTACAATGAACATTGATGTTGAAGAAAAACTACAGTACATGGATATAGCTATTTATTTCTATCTACTAGAAAATAAAGTCATATCTTTTCTTAGTTTAATATTGGTCATTTCTAATCAGAACACACTATTGCCAGGAACACAGTAGTTATTGTTAAAATCAGCTGCACTAGATACAATTTGAAAATATCCAGCACCAGGTTAATTCCAATAATGAACCCAATAGATTAGTTAATGCTATGAGAAGACTAAGGAGAAAGAGAAAAGAGACACAGACCCAGGCCTGGCTCAACATGCTACTAACTACCAGCTCTCAGATGTGTCACTGGGAACAATACACACTCCATGCGTTTTGCTACATCTCCGGAAGAGGTTAGGACTTGAGTCCACATGTGGATGCTTTCAAGTCCTTGAGGCCCACAGCCTGGTGTGTTTCACGCACAGATAAGGTCCTCCCTAGGTCTACAGGAACCCTCGAGGGAAGACGTGTTTCTCATCTCTGTAATGCACCAACTGGGGCAGGGGCACCTGTGAGTGCCCACTGCCTCCCCTTCCTTGCCCGCTCACAGGGCCAGCAGCGTGGGTGAGCTGAGTGAGTCAGAGGAGGGCTCATTGCTGCTGCTGCCCTTGCGGTGGGCAGCCGCACAGCTGGGGAAGGAGTCAGCCTCGGGGTAGGTGAAGACGAAGGAAGACGTGTAAGTAGTGCAGCTGGGAGTACAGGTGACCACCGGGGTGCACAGGGGCTCCAGCTCTGTGGCCATGGGCCCCATCCCCAGGGAGCCACTGTGCAGGGGCTCCCAGTCTGCTGCATAGAAGGAACCAGACAGGTCCATGTCTGGCACTGAGCGGGCGGTCTCAGAGACGCTGGGCCTGGATGATGCCGGGAACAGGAAGTCATCGAAGGGCTCAGCCTTCAGCTCCATGCTGTTGATGCTCTTGACAGGCTCCACCGATGGCTTAGGCTCAGGGTCATTGAGCAGGGGCAAGGCGAAGGCCTCCTCAGATTCTGGAGTGGCAGCCTCTGGCAGGCCCCCACTCAAATCCAGGGATGCCACAGACATCTCTTCTGGGAAGCCCAGGTCATCTGGGATCTTGCAGGCAGGTCGGTGAGCTGCCAGGATGAACTCCAGTTTTTCCTTCTCCTTCAACAGGTTGGCAATCTCAGTCTGCAAAGCAGACTTCTCATCTTCGAGTTGGTCTGTCTCCTGTACACAGGGGGATGAAGGACAGCATAAGGCACAGTCTTCCTCAAGGGCCTTGCTCCCTATGCCCAATCTCCAACTTTGTCCCTAACTTTTTAAAAGGAGTGACCCAGAGGATCTACCTACCGCTTGGAGGGTATCAGTCAGCTCCCTCCTCCGGTTCCGGCACTTGGCTGCAGCCATCTTATTCCTTTCCCTTCGAATTCTCCTTTTCTCTTCTTCTTCAGGAGACAACTAAAATTTTAAAAAGAACAGCATTCAGTAACAGTGTCTGCCATCACCTGCATTCCCTGGCCCCAATAAAACTGGCTCTGGCAGCTTCCTGGCACCTCTCTGAAGCCATTTCTAACCTGCAGTTGCAAGCTGGGTGTGACCTGCATTTAAAGTAAGATTCTCAGCAGGGGAACAAAGAAGAGCCCAAGCTAAAACATGAGGTAGGAAACTATCTGGGAAGAAACTAGAGGGCACTTCTTGGAGCAGGACTAAGTATGACTCTAATGGAAAGGGCTTGGAGGCAGGGTCAGGAAGTGCAGGCAATTTCTTTAGGGCTGCCTCCTCTCTACCTTGTTCCGGCATCTCCACTGCCCCTCCTCTGTCCCCAGATACAGAAGAGCTCCTCACCTGTTCTACCTTGCCCCTCCTGCCGATGCTCTGCGCTCTGCCGCCTGTCATGGTCTTTGCCGCTCCAGCCCTGGAGTAAGCCCCAGTCGAGGGAGTGGGGACTCCGTAGGGGTGAGGAGCTCTGGTCTGCGATGGGGCCACGGAGGAGACCAAGGTGGGTTGCACCAGCCACTGCAGGTCCGGGCTGGTCGAGATAGCAGTCACTGTGGGGATGAAGTTGGCACTGGAGACAGCCAGATCCGTGCAGAAGTCCTAAAACAAAACAGAAGGGGAAAGCTGACGTGAGCGAGCGTGTTCCAGACACAGGTGGGGAGAGCAGAGTTAGTGCCGCCTGCAGTTGGGGGACAGAGGGAGAGACACGGTCCTGTTATGGACTGCTCATCTTAAAAGCTTCTCATTCTGGATGAAAACTCTCTCCCTTTCCTCCCAAGAAGTCCGCAGAGCAGTGCCTTTCTCCTCCATCCTGCTGCTGCGTTCCCGTTATCCCTCCAGCATCACTCGCTTGAAAGGGGGTTTGTTATAAATATCACTGACGTCTGCGCTGACGCAGGCGCCGCTCCGGAGTCTCCAGAATGAACTCGCTTTTTATCAATGAAACTGCCTTACACACCCGCTCGCTGCACCCTCCTCCTTGAGCCCTCCTTCCTGCTCCAGGCTGCCACGGGAAGGAGGGGATTGCCACTTTTTGCCGCCTCCCGGGAGAATCCAGGCTCTAGTTAGCGAGCCTTTGCTTGGGACACGTTTGCCCAGCTAATGTCAGGGACAAGTCATGGAGTGCGGACCAGAGGCTGCTCAGGATGAACCTGCAGCGGGAAAGGGGATCCAAGTCTTACTATGACAAGCGTGCCAGTGCTGAGAACAAGTCCCGAGCTCCCAAGTTAGGGTTGCTCCAATCGCGGCAACCTCCCTCGCTAGCTAAAGGGAGACCCCGACTGTTTTCCCTGAGCATCCCACCCGCTTTTTCCTCCCGGAGACACAAAGTCCCAGGTCCCACAGCGGCACGAATCCAACTTACCTGTGCATTGACCGGAGAGCCCATGCTGGAGAAGGAGTCGGCCGGTGAATGGTAGTAGGAGAGATTGTCCCCGGCCGGGGAGGCGCTGCTGCAGCGGGAGGATGACGCCTCGTAGTCGGCGTTGAAGCCCGAGAACATCATTGTCACGGTTTGTGAAAGCCGGGAGAGGGACCAAGGGACGGAGAAGGGTGGGAGCTGTGGAGCAGAGCTGAGTGGGAGCGCGGTCACTGCTCGCTCGCTGCGCCGCCGCCAGCTCAGTCTCGGCTTCTCGCTGCTGATGCGGTTGGAGTACTAGGCGCCGCAGCCACCGCTTTTATAAACAGCATTTTATGAATGAGCTAATACGTCACTGGTCGCAACCACTGAGGCACTCGGGGGAAAGCGCGCGCTCTTGAGTGCCTCTGTGGCCGGCTTGTCACTTCCGCCGCACTCGTAGCCACTTGTTCCTGTCTTCCTGTGTGTTCTTATCCTATGAACGTTTTGCATTCCGGTCTTAGGGGTCTCTTGGACCCCTCCATGTGTGGGATTTCGGGGATAACTCCCCCCACGACTACAGTGAGCGGCCGTGGAAACCTGCTGACGCAGATGTCCTAATATGGACATCCTGTGTAAAGGGGGGAGGGATTGACGGGAACTGCTCGCTGGCTGCAGCCAACACCGAGGGTGCAGCGCTGGGGGAGGCGGGGGCCCGCAGCCGGGGGAGGGGAGGCGGGAAAGGCGGAGAACGCGAGCGAACATTCGCACCTGATTCAATGCGGACCCTTGTTCCCGAGGTCGGAAGAGACGGGATGACAGCCGCCTCTTTAGCACTGTCCAGAAACTGGGGACAGGTATAGGAGAAACAGGTACTCGGCGCTGAGGGCTTGAAGCCTCTGCTCCCGGACGAATGCGTCCTACCCCCATTCCCTTAGTCCTAATTCAATGCGAATTGTGAAATCAGACCCTCAGTCCTCTCCTTGAGTCCCTGGGCTCAAGCAACACTAGGACTGCGTTTTGAAGCAGAAAGTGGAGGATCCAAAGTAAGAATACGATAACCTGCTTTATCGCTGATGTGGGTTCATTCATTCCTTCATTCATTCGTTCGTTTGTTTTCAAGGAAGATAGCGCAGTTTTTTCTTAGTCGTATGTGGAGATATTAGTGTTATTGTCAAATCTGAGACACTATCCGATAAACATTGTGCAAAACCTCGGTGCTAGAATGTCAGAAGGGGTCGTTTGCCTTCTTCTGGGCTGGGGCTGGGGAGTGAGACCGCGGAGTGGGGCCGCAATTGCGTTATCTAGGCAAGTGTCCAATCGAGGGTTACAAGGTGGGATGATAAGTGGGGTGATCTAACTCGAGTCCGCGCTGGGGAGATGGGGACTGCTTCGGTCCCGCCAGGAAGCTGCGCTAACCGGGAGGCAGCAGCGGGTGATTTTCCAGCTCGAACTTGGAGGGGGGAGGACTGGGGGACTGGAAGGACAGTGCCCAGCAGTGCCCAGACAGAAGACCTTGGTCGCTGGGACCCCAGCGCGGCTATGTGGCCATTTCCTCATCCTGAAAAATGAGGTTTGGGGGAGGGAAAATGCCCCAGAGTGTACCACACCCCCAGATGCCCCCAATCTCCTGCCCCGCAGCAAAGGACAACCGGGGTCACACTGCCCTGGATCAGTCCCAGCGTGCTGGCTACCTCTGGGGCAATACGCCGCAGGTCCCTTGCAGAGCCTCTGTGTCCCGCCTTCCACACTTTGGACCTGGACACAGGGCCCACAGTGGACGAGGCACAATAGGGCAGCGGGCAGACCGTTCCTGGTGCGCGGGGAGCGGAACCGCGAACCTGCCTCCCGCCGCCGCACCCGGGAGCCAGGCGATTCTGCTATAGATAGTAACAGGGAAGCTGCTGTTTACAGCAACACAGCGCCGCCAGGGCCGTCGCCAGGCGACGCCGCGCGGCCGGGTGCGCCCGTCGGTCCAGCGAGGCCACCCGCCCTCCCCGCTCCCCAGGGGCCGCGGCCTCCCTGTCCCGGCTGCGGCCGCTCCCGCCGCCTGACATCACCCGCCGAGTCCGGGGGCTGAGCGCCTCTAGTGCGGGCTGATGCGCTAACCTCCATTCTTAGAGATCCGAACCCGGCGGGAGCGGCGAGGGCAGGGAGGCGGGGATTCGTGGAACTGGGCCACTTGCTATTTTTGCATTCCCTGTCACAGGCAGAGGTGAAAACAGAATTTCATCACTGTATGTCATTGGTTTATGTTGGTGGGAATGTAGACGCTTTTTCTCCCTCACCAAAAAGGTGCGCGGTGGGGGCCCACGTTAACAGACTTTTTGGAGGTCCCCTGAATCCTAAGGCAATTCTTCGGGGTCTTCTGCTCTGCTAATTCTATCATCTGTTAGGCTATCCCACCGACCTTGATTTTGAGAGAGAGAGAGAGAGAGAGAGAGAGAGAGAGAGAGAGAGAGAGTTTATGAAGGCAAATTTATTTCTCCTCTTATTATTAGCTTCGACAAAGTAGGTCAAGTCTTGAATTCCTGGGTCTGGCCTTGCCTTCTATTCTCACAATTGAATCTCAGAACCACTTAAGAGAAAAACCTAGAATGATTTGATTTACTTCCCCTTCAGGTCTGAAACAGCTCAGGTCAACACCTAAAAGATGTGTCGAGATTTTATACCCAGGATTTATCTCATGTATCACCTATCCTGCCTTTGCCAATTAAAAAAAAAAAAAAAAAAGGAAAGGGGGTCTTGTGTTGAGCCTGTCTCCTCCAGAAAGCTTAACTCTTTCCTTTCTGGAACCACTATGACCAGAGAGTTGAAGACTTAATACATTTCTCCTCTGAAAAAGACAGACCACCGTTCATTCTTTCTTTTATTTATTTAACAAAGAACTATCAAAACCGTACATGGGGGCTGGGGTTGTGGCCATTGGTAGAGAGCTTGGCTAGCACATGTGAGGCCCTGGTTTCTATACCTGGTACCACATACAAAGATAAATAAATAGAGACTGAGGCTGTGAATAAATAAATAAATTAATTAATTAATTAAAGATATTGTGTCCATCTACAACAGCAACAAAGAACCTAACTTAGCCTGGCTCTGGGCTGGGGGCTGGTGTCTACTATAATAAACAGGGTGGTCCTGTCCCTACCCTCAGAGAGAATCCAACTCATGGGGAACATAGACAACTCAATAGAGAATTTCTTGGCAGCAGCAAATGGCTTGACAGAGGTAAGAACAAGGTGCCATGGAACACAAAGAGGGTTTGGAGACAGGTCCCAAGGAAGTAACTTCAACACAGAGACAGGGCCTAGATCCTCTGTGTTCTGGGTATTGAAATGATAAGGATTAAAAAGGGCTGAGAGTGACATCTAGGGAACCAGAGCAGTGGGATAAGATGATACAACTGGAGTTGTGGCTCAGTGGGAGAGCACTCACCTAGCATGCACCAAGCACTGGGTTTGATCCTCAGCACCACATAAATGTAAAATAAAGATATTGTGTCCACCTAAAACTTAAAAATAAATATTTTTAAAAAGATAATACAACCTCAGAACCCCCCCACCCTCCTGCCCCATTAACATTCGAACTGTGATCCTTCTAAGATATGCTTCTATCTCAGTCTACTCCTGGTATCCATTCAAGGACAGCAGAATCACATTTTTAAAAGTGGAATGGGTTGGAAATGTAGTTTAATGGTAGAGCGCCTGCCTACTGGGTTCAAGGTTCTGTGTTTAATCCCCAGCACAGGAAAAATACATGCAATAGTAAAAATTTTAAATAAAGAATTAAAAGAGGGGCTGGGGATGTGGCTCAAGCGGTAGCGCACTCGCCTGGCATGCGTGCGGCCTGGGTTCGATCCTCAGCACCACATACCAACAAAGATGTTGTGTCCGCCGAGAACTAAAAAATAAATATTAAAAAAAAAAAATCTCTCTCTCTCTCTCTCCTCTCTCACTCTCTCTTAAAAAAAAAAAAAAAAAAGAATAAAAAGAGTTGATCCAGCCACCCAACTATTGGATATAAACCCAAAGGGGGAAAATCAGTATGCTGAAGGAATGTCTGCATACCTGTACTCACAGCAGCATTATTCACAATAGCCAAGATACAACCTAAGTGTCCATCAATATACAAATGGATTTTTTTTAATTGACTTTTCCTTTCCCATTGAGTTCTTTTTCGGCTTTAAAAAAAAAAAAACAGGAAATTCCACCATTTGCAACAAAATGGGTTAATCTAGAGGACATTGAGTACAATAAGCCAGACACAGAGCAAATACCATAGTAACTCACTTAAACATGGAAACTAAAGCTGTTGAACTCATGGAAGTAGAGAAGAGAAAGATGCTGAGGAGGGAGGTGGGCAAGAAAGAGGACAGGCTGGACATCGGGTACAAAGCTATAATTAGATAGGAGGAGTAAATTTTGGTGTCCTATTGCATAGTGTGGTGACATAGTTAATAATGTATACTTTAAAATAGCTAAAAGAAAGGATTTTAATTGTTCTTACCACAAAGAAATGATAAATGTTTGAGTGATGAAGATGCTAATTACTCTGATTCAATCATTCCAGGATCTATACATGTATCGAAATATCATTTTGTACCCCGTAAATATGTATAACTTTTTTTTTTTTTTTTGGTGCTGGGCTTGAATCTGGGGCCTTGCACATGCTAGGCAAGCGCTCTACCAATGAGTCATATCTCCAGCCCATATATATGTAATTATTATGTCAATTAAAAATAAAATAAAGCTAGACAGGCATAGTGGTACATGCCTTAATCCCAACTACTTGAGAGGATGAGGCAGGAGGATTCCAAGTTTGAGGCCAGCCACAGCAACTTAGCAAGGCCTTTAGTACCTTAGCAAGACATTATTTACAAATAAAAAATAAAAAGGGCTGGGATGTAGCTCAGTGCTTAGGTACCCCTGAGTTCAATCCCCAGGAAAAAGAAAGAATAAAGCTTAAAAAAAAATGGAGTTTACAAAATAGAGTCTAAAAATAAAGACAAATCAGATCCCATATGTGAAATTATTTTTGCCACTTGCAAAGGTTAGAGTGACTTTGAGACAGGTGTGTGTGCCTCTGTGAGCGTGGAGCTGCCCTCCAGCAGGGCAGAGATTCCATGCTGTGGACAAGTTTGAGCATGTGACCAGAACCTACATATAAGTGATTATCTATGTAAACTGAGTTCCTCCTATCTGGGGATCCAAAAGTGAAGAGAATAGAAGCTCACACCTGATTTTAATCCAAAGTGAAATCAAACTCCTCTTTCCTCAGTAGATTTTCCTTATCACATATGGGCTTTTCCTATTTTGCACGCTCCCTATGACAGCTGAATAAAGAGACCTGGCCCACATCAAGCTGTTGGATAACTTTTGCATTTGGGTGCACATTGTTTAGCCTGGTATTATTGCAACATTAAGTGAAAGGCTGCTGTCTTGTGCCGCCTACGTAAATGCTGCCGCACACAGCCTGTCCCTAGCAGGCAGAAGTAGCTATTTATTTGGGGAAGTGTGGTCTAGTGGTGAAGGGTTGTGGTCAGAGCATGGGACCAGAAGTCAGGAAGATGCATACACCAAAATCAACTCCTCCAGGGACTTGGGGAAGTCACTTCTTAGACTTGTCTGACAACTTTTGGCCTTTGTCTCCTTCATGTTCACTTAGCAGCTAGGACAGTGCCTGACACATAGTAGGTGTTCAATAAATAGCTGTTGAATGAATGACTGAATGTCCTCATCCAGGCAAGGAGAACATGGATGATTGTTCTTGATGAGTACTTAGAGAGGAAATAGTGTTCTTTAAATCTTTGGAAGGGCTGATAGGCTGTCTTTTATTCTTGTGTATGAATAGGCAAAAATTGGGAAAGAGAAAATAACAAGATGCTTGTGCTATTTTCAGTAGATGCAGCCTATGTGTAATATCCCAGTGGCTCATGATGAAGGATCAAACTCACCCTTGTTATCGAGCCCTATGAGAAAGATAGTCAGTGTCCATATATAAACACCACATTGTCTGCAATGACAATGACTGTGTCAGCAGCACCCTTTAATTTATTCATTCTAAATGTCTGGACCCAACAAGGGAGAGAAGCATTCCCTGATTCCTTCCTATGGGACTCACACACATGTGAGCTCAATGCGGAGCCTTAGAGGTCAAGGTTACTCCCCCTAAGCTTCAGACTGTGAATAAAAACATTGCCCCTATTTAGAACAGCGGAGGCAGAGTTACCACCATCACCACCCCACACACACACCACCACCCAGACTAATTAGTCCTAGTGATTTAGCCTCTTTAGGGGAAAAAAAAAATGCTGTTTTCATTTTGAACAACTCTTGGCTTTTTGACAGGAGATGATGATTCAATGGGATCCCCGTCCTGCTGCTAATGTGAGCATTTAAACAAAGCTCTGTGTGGTTCCTGGGATACACTCCATCTGGAGCTGAGGAAACTGGGGTCCAGCGGCGGTGCCAAAGACTGACGCAATTCAGCCCAAGCCAGCGGCATCTTTCTCCGCCACTGGTCCCACACTGGTTCATCTGCCACACCGACCCTACAGAAACAAGAGTGCTCCATCAGCAGGCAAGTGGGCCCCTCTGGGTGTCAGCTCCTCAAATGTCCTAAAGTGACCTTCTGTGGCTCTGCTGGATTTAACTGTTGCAATCCCAAAGGAGCCCCACCTACGTCACTAAACCTGTAGGATAACAACACACCCTGACTGAGCAACCTCAACTGCAGGGCTCCCAGCCCATGAGAAAATCTCACAGTTGGCATGGTCAGGGCTGTGGGTATCTTGAAAGAGCTGGCACATGACGCGCTCAGTGTCAAGATATCTTATCCACCATCTTACTTTACAAGAGGGTTTCAGTTTTGATTCATTTTTGCAGTATTAGGGATTGAACCTAGGGCACTTACTACTAGCCCACATCCCCAGTCCTGTCTATTTTTTTATTTTGAATACAGGATCCCGCTAAGTTGCTGAGGCTGGCCTCAAACTTGTGATTCTCCTGCTTCAGCCTCCCAAATTGCAGGGATTACAGACATGTGCCACCACATCCAAGCATCAAGAACAACTTTAAAGAGATTGTTACAATTGATCACTGTAATGCAAAGGAAAAAAAAAAATATCCTAAACCAGGAAAATCATGATGGGTATCAAGGAATTCAGAGTTAGGCTTCTGATCCATAGAGCATGGCTTCATCCTTGTGACAACTTTTGTTTAATGCAAAGAGGCTTCCAGTTGCAATTCCCAGAGGAGGTCTGAAGTTCTCCACTGATGTTTTACCTGGAGGATTACCAGTTAAGGATCACTCGTGAAATTCCAAAAATAACTCCGCTAAGGATTTCACCTTCAGACTCTGGCCCACCCTGGATTGCGAGGTCTTCAAGTTAAGACCAGGACAGACCAGACCCTGACAGGATCTGCTCTCCACCTTGGGAGTGGGGGGGGGGGCTCTAAATTAAATCACAAACCTGAACAGACCTTTTGTCCCACCTGTTTAGAGTCTCACTTATGGAATGACACACAGGGACACATCTGCACTCCCTCCCGGGGGTCTCTGGTCTGTAGGATCCAGCTCTACCAAGCCTTCCAGCCTCTTCTGAACTTCTTTTCCTCACCCCGTCCTTCTTTCTCTTCCTTAAATCTGCCAAGTGGGTTCTGCCACTGGCGCTGGTCTGAGGTACCCACTGTCCCCCCCCACCCCCCCCGTTTGTGACATGTTGACTCTTCCTCATACCAATATCCCCTTCTCCAGGAAGCCTGCCCCACCCCCTTGTACATTGCATCACTCCTCCTCCTTGCCCCTCAGTCTGTCCCATTCTGTCACTTTGTGTCACACTACCTGGATTTCTTTCCTATTGAGCATTTATCACTGTGATACCCTGTCTGTTTGGGCAGGCACTTTTCCATTGTCTGTCTTCCCCTCAGCCAATAAGCTTCTCCAGAACTGGGGCCTCGTCTTACTCGGTAGGTATCCATCCTCAGGACCTCACTTCCTGACACTAGTAGACACTCAGAAAATGTTTGTGGAATGAATAAATGTTAAACAGAAAGCTCATCAGCGATTGTCCTTGTGGTTAAGAGGGATCATGGATTCTCCTTTTTGGACAAAAGGATACGACGGGTGACTTCTTACCTATGTCCCCCTCAAGTAAGGAGAAACAAAACTCTAGTTGGCACTGCTGTTATCAGGTATAATAATTTAGATGCTTATAACACCAAGAGGAACAAGCAACCTTAGAACTGCATAGAACACTTCACACTTGCAGCCTAGGAGGGTATGAGGTGCTTTAATTTTAAATCTATAGCCACCCCTTATAGAAATGATGTCAGTGAGCCCTAGCATGCATGAAGCACTGGGTTTGATCCCCAGGACTGCACAGAAAAAGAGAGAGAGGGAGGGTTATATCCCATATGTTTCTCCAAAACTTCAGATTAGTTTTTTAAAATATTTTTTCTCTCTCTCTTATCTCTTTCTATCTCACTATCTTTTTTTTTAGAGATTGACACAATACCTTTATTTTATTTGCTTATGTTTTATGTTGTGCTGAGGATCAAACCCAGTACCTCACACATGCTAGGCAAGTGCTCTACCACTGAGCCACAATCCTACTCCTAATTCAGGATAATTTTACAAGTGACATTTTAGGAAAAAACGGGGCATAAAAGTAAATATCTAAGTATTTAGTTTAAAGTACTGGCTACAGAAGTATAATACAACTTTTATGGCCTTAGCACTAGAACAATTAGACTATACCCTCAAGTAATTAAGAAAATAATAATATTGAATTGTGGAATAAGATTTTATTTAAAAAAATTACGAGTATGCCAAAATCATGCAGGAATCCCTGACCTGCGGGACTCACTGTTTCCCCGTTGCCAGGAACAGTGCCTTACCCAACACAGAGCTCTCAATAAATGAAATAATGGATCCAGCTCTCCTGTTTCTTTCTGGAGCTCCCCCCCCACCCCTGCCCCAGCACGTGCTGACCTGACTTCTTGAGCAATCCAGCCATGATTGGGCACAGGACTAGGACCAGGGCAGTATTTGTTGACTGTCTGAATTGCACAGAACAGAGGACTAGAGTATCACATAGCAGAGGCCCACCTGAGGCCTGGCTACATCTCCTACATCAGCCCCATCTGGGCCAAGCTGGTCTCTGCTGTTATAAACAGCACTCCACGTGCTCCTGCCTGTTCCAGATTGGTTAACATGAAGGAATGGGAGGAGCCCCTACTTGACCGGGCCATTCTATTCCCTTCTCCAGATTCATCAGGTGGCTTGGAATAAACCATGGGTTACCTGCCCAGAGGGTGTCTGTGGGTAAAGATTGCTTTTACCTGGACCTTGCTATCTGTGAATGGAAAACTTCACAGTTGGTGAGGACTTGGGAATTCTTTTGCTGTTCACATTTCAATATCTAAGTTAAGATCATTTGAACCTGAGGCTTCACCCAACTGGTGTCTGTCTAAGCTTACAACTTGGAAAAGAGAGGATTAAGGGGGTGTGCAATAGGCTGGGGAAACCAAAACTAAAACAAAATCCAGCAACAACCAAAGCCACGATGTTCTTCAACTCACACTCTTCTCGTTGGCCACCAAACAGGCTGACTGCATGACGGCTCCAGGCCACAGCAGACCATCCCCGCCTTTCTGACCCATTCCTTGGCCACATGGTAAACTGACCAGAGAATAATGATGGAGAAAGCCAAAGAGTTTCACATTGATTTGGTTTTAGATTATAAGTTCAGATAAGAGCAGGCCTGAGGTGTTTCTATCACATATCTCATTTGAGATTAATTTAGTTGTATTCTTATCAGATATTTCTAGCCTGCTTTCTATTTTTCCATTGGTTTCAGAGTTCCCTTCAGGGGAGAAAGAAGTTTCACATGCCTCAAAAATGTTATTTCCTTGTATAAGAGCCAAAAAAAACAATTACCTACAGGTACTGGGATAGGGCCCCTGCAAAGTTAATTCAGCCTTAATTCAAATTGTACAGAGTCAAGTATTCTATTTTTTATGCCTCCATCAACACCTTTATTGAGCACCTACTATGTGCAAGCCACTGGCATGCATAGAAAATATAGACACTACTTGTAAGGTGATGGTTACAGTCTAGTAATGAATAAACAAGAAAACAAACAAAAGCATCAAATAAAAGTAAATGCTGGGCTGGGAATGTGGCTCAAGCGGTAACGCACTTGCCTGGCATGCGCAGGGGCAACACATAAAAATAAAATAAAAATGTTGTGTCCACCAAAAACTGAAAAATAAATATTTAAAACTTCTCTCTCTCTTAAAAAAAAAAAGTAAATGCTGTAGCACATGGTGGTGCACACTTATAATCTCAGCAATTTGAGAGTCTAAGGCAGAAGGATTACAAGTTCAAGGCCAGCCTCAGCAATTTAGGGAGACTATGTCTCAAAATAAAAAGGTATGGGGATGTAGCTCAGCAGTAAAGTACCCTGATTCAATCCCTATTTAAAAAAAAAAAAAGTAAATGCTGGGTAGGTTATCAAAATGAGAGGATATGTTATAGGAACTGTGTTGCTATTTTGGATAGCAGGAGGGACATTTGCCATGAGAAATGAATGATAAGCAGGAACTGGCCCCTGAAGAACAGGTAGCAGAGCATCTGGGCAGAGGAAATGCGTCTCAGTGTGAGGTTAAGGCGTTAGGAACCCAATATATGATCCTGACAACTCTGCAGCCACCGGAACTTGCAGGGGACCCTTCGGGCCCTATCAGGTGACTGGCTGACAACTCCCCCTCCCCTAGACCTTGAATACCAACTTTTGGAACTGTGCTACTAAATTTGGAAATTACCCTGCTCCTCCCAACTCAGTTTCCTCCTGAGCTGTCCCTAAACTTCAGACAGGATATGGACAGTTGTATTTCACTCTCACGCAAACACAGCCCTTCGAGATTCTTCTTCTAGATGGTACCACACTACTATGATGGTTGGTAAGATCCTTCTCCATAGCTTAGAGTCTTAATGAAAGCAGAGAAAAATAGTGAAATAAATCACCCTTTGGCTTTGAGGTCTTCCAGGGCCCCTTTTTACAGGAATGTGAAAACAGGCGCATTCCATTTTACCCTTTGTTGGAGAGCAATTGACAATAAACAGAGTTCAGCTTAGGATCTGTGCTGTAAAACAGCAGAGCACTGAACAAATCCAGCTTTCTCACCCGGGCCACCACTCCCCTGCATTCTGCTGATCTTTACACAGGATTCAAGCAAGTGTATTTGGAAGGCTTAAGGGGAAGTAAACTCAAAGCACTCATTCCTTGAATTCTTTGTTATTTTAACCAAACTGGAGACCATTCCACGAGCCACTATCAGAATCCACCCATCTTTAGTTCCTGTAAATATTATGTCTGCTCTGAACTATGTGAACTATTTCATAGCTGGAATATGAACCAGGCTGTGAAAACATGTTAATGGGAATGACATAAGGAGACCATTAAAACTGAAACGAGAGGGGGAAGTCAGTAGCAAAAAGAAAAGTGGGCTGATGTGTGTGTTGGAGAGAGGTGAATTATTCCATCCAGGCTTGATTATTTAAATCCAGCAGCAAATGTATGCTGACACATTCTTGGGGGGCACTAGGGTGATTTTCATTACAGCAAGGACAAGAAGCCACGCTCAGTTCCCAGAGAGGTTATTCCTGTTGTATTTGGAACTAATTGTTCCAGGCAATGTGGACCACGGGAAGCGGAGCAGCTAATAGCAACCGTTAGTGATTCTTAGGAAGTGGGATAAGCACGGGCAACCGAGGACCAAATTCAATCTGATTGTAAACCTCTGATGCAGGAATCATCTCCTGTTCTTTGGCAGTCCTGGCCTCAAAGGCACGGTAGCATAGAATTCATGAGTGTACATGTGTTCTCTGTCCCCACCTCCCCACTCTACTTAACTTATCCTACTCTTTGTCCGGATCTCAAACGCCAAATGTCACATCCTCATGTACTACCCCTGAGAAAAACAGTGAAATAAATCACCCTTTGGCTTTGAGGTCAAAATAATTCCCAGGCAAAATTAAGAACTTCTTAGAAGCCCTCATTCCACCTTAGGTTTTTCATTAGAGCACTTATCAACATTGGCAATAATACATATTTATTTACCAAGCAGTTGGCCTAATATCTAAAAGATAACCTCCACAAATATAAGGATCTTTGTTTTGCTGGCACGGTGGCTTGTGCTTCATGAAGCTGAGGGCAGAAAGATCACATGTTCAAGGTCACCCTGTCTCAAAGTTAAAAATATAAAGGGCTGAGAATGTAGTTCAGTGGTAGAGTACCTTTGGGTTCAATCCTCAGCACCAGAAGAAAAATTAAATGATAGGGGTCTTTGTTTCCTTCATTGATGTAGCCTCAGGCACTTTAAGAGGCCTAGGCCTAATAGCTAATAATTATTGAATGAGTTTACTTAGTGTCTGCCTCCCATTCCAGAAAGAAAGATGCTTTGCCTACTTTACTCATCATTGGCTTTCTAGATCTAACACAGTATCTAGCACATAAAAGGTGCTCAAAAATACTTTTCTGAATGAATGGAAATCATAACAGCCAATTTTATTGAATGCTTGCTTGGGAATTCTGCTAAGTACTTTACAAAGATTATATAATTTAATATACACTGTGTTTCAATGATGAGATATATTATTATGCCATTTTATTTGAACAGGTTTAGTAATATTTTTTAAAATATTAATCTTATAATTTTCAAATTCACAGTGGATAATTAGGGGCTAAATATTTTCTCCAGTGTAGTAGATGTGCTCTGGTGACCTAAGTGAATTAATTTCCCTAGGTACCTACCAGGGAGTAACTGACAAAGAGAGAATATCAGTCTCCTGAGCCTTAATTATGTTTATGTTGCTTGGAATTAAATTACAGCCTCAGCTTTCATTGGGCTTTGGAGATGCATGTACCTCGTGCTGGTTGCATTGGGTCTGTATGGAAACCACAGAATCTGTAAAATGCTTTCATTCTAAGAAAGGAAACTAGAAGTAGGGATAAAGGGCTGAATCTTGCTCAAGGTGCTGGTTACACTGGCTCT